TTTAACCTGCTGTTAAGAGAACAGTGTAACCACCCATTACCTGCCTTGGATTCCCCATGCAGTCAACTTTTACCACCCAAGCTAAATGCAGAGCTTTATTTTTAAGTTATATACGTTCCCATGTCTCTGACCTAGATGTGGTGGTCATTTTCTGGAAACAGCCAACACCTGTGAGCAGTTTTGAGCACTGTTCTGGGCCAGTGAAGTAAAACTTTGTAAAACCATGCTAAAACCCTCTATAGAAAAGTATCTCTTAAGAGCTGAGTGGTGGCACCATGCCTTTAATCCCAACACTTGGGAGGCAAAGACAGGAGGATCCCCAACTTTGAGGCCAGCCTGGTCTACAGAGGGAGTTCTAGGACATCCAGTTCTTCATTATACAGAGAAACCCCCTTCCCCCAAAAAAAATCAAAGAAAGGAAAAAGGAAGGAAGGAAGTGCCCTTCATTCTCTTCATATGCCATTTTCTCTGCTGTTCAATAAATAGTTTTGTTAAAATCCAACAGAAGACATGGGGAGAAGTGGAGAAATCACATTTTGCCTGGCTTTTGTCAAGTCACTGCAACAGGAATTGCTTCATTTTCGTTCCTTATTATGTGAGTTTTTGTTGCTGGTGTTGTTCTGTTTCTTCATTTGTTTTGAGGCAAGGTTTTTCTATATATCCCTGGCTGTCCTAGAAATCGCTCTGTAGACCAGGCTGGCCTCAAACTCACAGAGATCCCACCTACCACTGCCTCCTGAGTGCTGGGATTAAAGGTGTGCACCACCACTGCCTGGCACAGAAAAAGAGGTTTTTAATTTTGGGCATCATGGTTACTAAAAGAGACCGAGAGCAACAGGAATCTCCCCCAAAGCTCCTTCCTTTCCCACCGTGCAGGGTGGAGACATCCCGAAGTCAAGGGAGATCAGGATGTCTCAGAGTGGCTAAATTAGTAAGCAGATCTTAGGAGCAGGGGATGCATACACACCCATGCTTACCTTTTTTTTTCCTTTATCTATCAAGCCCAGTTTGCTTCCACTTCTCAATCAGTCACAAGGAGCAAGTGGGCTTTCCCAAAAGCCTGGTGCCTCTACCTTCTCAATTTGCTCTTACTGTGGGGAACTCTGTCTCCTGAAACTCAAGCACATGCAGAGCAACCGAGAACTACTTAAAGGGATTTAAGCTAAAATGTCATTAAGACGAATTTATCAACTATTGACTGTTATTAAGGTATATTGTCTCAGGTATCCTAACCATAGGACACTTGATTCAGCAGTCTTGGGAAAGAATTGGTGACCAATTGCATTGCTGTACAGCCAGTTCAACCAAAACATTTAATCCTCTGGAACCAAGTTGGTTAGCCATATAGCCTTTCCCGAAGAAAAAGAGGTGTCCCGGGAATGTCTCCTACTGAGTTTCATGCACTTCCTCTTTCTAATTCTCTGGCAACTCGTAACCTAGTAAAGTATCCCCGTCCATAAAGTAGCCTGCTGACCGCATTTCCAGTCATTAGAGTAGGACCAAACCCCACCCATGAAGGGCCCCATTCACCACATACAAAGATCTCACAAAACATGTTGCAGAGGATGAGGTTCAAACCATTTTACCAGAGGAATCATGTTATTGCAAATACATGAAATAATACTTTTGGCTGGCAAGTCCTTATAAAAGTTTTTACCACTGTTCAATAATGGCTCTGGGAATGGATAGACAAATGCCTGTCCATTGCTGCTCGCAACCAAAGGTAGCACCCCCACCACCACCACCCAAGACGTTACTTATGATCAATTAATCAGATGAGGAAACTTTGAAACCCAGGCTCAGCAGCTTGGCAGCCCTTAGCTACTACAATGGCTGGGATCAAAGTTCCTGGCCCTGATACTCTCTCGGGGTCCTTTTCTACCATCAGACAAAAGTCTACAGAGTCCTTGATGGGCTTTGTTGGCAGTCCACACAGGAAGCTATTGAAAGACAGATAATAAAGAAGTTGCTGTCACCTTACCTTTCATTAGCTCACAAAAATGAAAATTCTGACTGAAAAAAACAACAAAACAAAAATCTTCTTTGCCTGACAGTGGTGGGCCTTTTAATCCCAGTGCCCAGGAGGCAGGTGGATCTCTGTGAGTTTGAGGCCAGAATAGTCTATAAAGCTAGTTCTAGGACAACCAGGGCTACACAAAGAAACCCTGTTTTCAAAACAAAACAAAAACCCTTCTTTATTCTGTAATTGCTAATCCTTTTCATACTATGCTGATGTGATAGAAGCCTGCCAAAGCGTTAACACAGAGTAGCTGCGGGCTCAGAATCCGGCAGCAGCCTTGTGGCCCGCTGTGTGTTTCAAACGTGGAAAAAGAGGCCATTCCAAAAACAATGTAAACAAAACTTGCCAACAAACTTCAGTATGGCAAAACCCTTTCTTAAATCTGCTGTGAATGTAAAAATGGTTTCACTTGGCCAGTCAGTGTACATCTAGAGTTGATAATGAAGGTGATCCAGTTTGGGGGAGCAAGAATGAATGCCAAGAGTGGCGAACCCCCATCTGTTTCCAGCTTGTGGTCCCAGTGCCCTGCTGCTGTGCTGCCTCTGTTGGGGCGCAGGCTGGACTCACACCTTGTGGTGCCTCTGCTGAACGACAGCCAGTTCCGCCCCAAACCTAAAACATTGAGAGGTTTGATTGTCAAAAGTAATTCTAGATTTATCTAGGGTTAAAGATACAAATTAGGTGTATTAGGAGAGGGAAAGGGGCCCCCACAGATGTGTGGAAACCCCTCCCAACAAAGGTTTTGACTTGATTTTAGGTAAGTTCCACTGGACTGTAAAAGGGGGTTGCCTACCCAGATCTCTTTCCTCCAGATGTCATTGATTCAGATCACACTGTTCAGATTCATATTTTAGTTTATTTCCAGTTGCTCCAAGAAATTCCAACTCCCACTCAATTGACAACATTGATTATTATTCCTTATCCAACCCCACTCACCCTTGATAATGGTTATGAAGCCAAGAACTTGCTTCCAAAGAGCACGCTGGACTCAGTTGGTGTTTTCTGTCAGCTAAATTCCCACGAAGGACATTAGGGACACAGCAGCTGGTGTTTCTGTTATAGATAAATAACACTAGCCTTCTAATTGGCACATTCAATCCCCAGTTGTAGACATTTGAGGAGTTGGTGACAAAAGTATTTCCCTACTTTTGTAAGTACAAAAACCTTATGTGTAGTTTTCCAAAATTGAACTGCCATTTTTCCACCCTTTATTTTACCTTTCCCTTTAACCCATTATCTCAATGGGGTTATGTAAGCCCTGTACCTGAATTGTCCTCCGGGCCATGAGTAATACCAACCCAAACTTTCTTGGATAGAAGGCCCCCCCCCCCCCCGATGGGGAGCTCACTGGCCAATTAATGGGAGCAAATTTAGCTATGTCAGCTAATCCAAGAACAACCTCAGGCAGACCATACAGAACCATTCATTATTCGGTGCCTGGAAAAATCCTGTCTTTATTTCCCCCCAAGTCTTGTAAATGGAGGCATTTACATGATCTCTGTGCTGCTAATCTTGTCTTCATCCCCTAGAGCCATACAACCTAGAGTTCCTTCATCGCTACTATGTAACCATTACTGATGGAAAATAACAGCCTTCTGTACTATTCCATTATACCCTGATGACTGAGAATTGCTTTGGTTTGATTACAATAGTTTGTCTCCCCCCCCCAAAAAAAAAAATAATGTTAAATCCTTTTTATTAGCTCTTGAGCAGTATCAGTTTGATTTGGCCTTTTTTGGGAATTCCCAGAATGGCTCTTTCTCAAGTTTTTTTGCCTCTCATACAGGACTTGAACTCACCTCCATAGTAATTCCTTTTGCATTACAACAATTAACAGCTGGTGGCTAGAGCCCTGAAACAAAGACAGCTTTCGAGAAGAGGCTTAGATTTACCCGGCTCTGTCTATCTTGAACACGCCTCTTTCCCTTGCAGCCATGAACTCTCTCTTTAGACAACAATGGTGTCTCTTCTCAACACACCTTTCCCCCATCCCAAACCAACAGAGAAATGATTCATATTCAACAGGACAGACCAGAGCTATCCAACTTACTGGACAAGCCCCTGATATTTTCAATCTATATCTGAAAATAATTTCAACTTCCTTTCACAAACCTCAGAAGAATGGCAAATAGCTTTTGCTAGTTTAGGGGACAAAACTCCTTTCATTCCCTCCTATAAAGACTCTATAGAATTCCATTACTTCCATACAGGGCTTTTCTCCAAGAAGTACACATCCTGTTTCTAACGCACTAACTGTTCTTTGTTTGGGTCAGACAAAAGGCAGAGGGAGAGGAATGGAAGATTCATATTTGGGCTGGATCTTGTTCAAACTACTCTGAAGAGGAAGTTGCTTCATTCTCCTTCCTTAATGCAATATTGACGTGTGTTAGTGGGTGACAAAGCTGAACTGTAGTGTCTGGCCACTGTCCCTACCGCCCTAGGGATGGGCTCCCCACCTGCCTCAGAGTCATGAGAATGGGGAATATCCATGTGTGGTCAGCTAACGAAGACAGAGAAGAGCTGCTGTGGAGGGTCCACGCTGTGGGCATGTCACTGGTGGCTGGTGAGGGCCAGGGCTGTGTGGCAGAGACTGCACTTGTGCTGTGAGTTCTACAGGTGAAGGCGGAGCAGCTGAGCATTCCTCCTGGTTCACTTGCCTGGTCATATAAGTACTTACACATCCATTACACACTGGAGGCTGGGGTAAAGCTGCAAGCTAGGCATGATCCCAGACGCTTTGTAGGGCCTTTGATGTGCAGGAAAGAGGAGTCAGGAGGACAAGATTCCTGCCTGAACTTGTACGTGACCTTGGGTAACTGGTAGTTTCCTTGGAAACCTCAGGACCACCTGTGCAAAGCGCTGTAAGTCCAGCCTCACCTGTAGAAACCGTCATAAGGATGGCAGGGCAGGTGCTTGGTGACTGTAGAGTGCTGGGCTGTGGCTTCTTCCATCACCCTGCTCATGCCTGTTCCTTCCACAGAGTTGCCCAGGAGCTGCAGGACAGGCACCTGGAGCACCCCCGGGTGGCTACTACCCTGGACCTGGGGCCCAGTATGGGAGTGGACTCCCCCCTGGTGGTGGTTACGGAGGTCCTGCCCCCGGAGGACCCTATGGATACCCCAGTGCTGGAGGACTCCCCTCTGGAACGCCGAGTGGACCATATGGGGGTATGCCTCCAGGGGGCCCCTACGGTCAGCCTCCTCCAAGTTCCTATGGTGCCCAGCAGCCTGGACCTTATGGACAGGGTAAGTGGACTCTTCAGCTCCCAATCTAGAACCCAATCTAGAACCTCTGGCTGGTCTAAGCTATCCATGTCCCATCCTGTTGCTTCCTGTGGATGTGCAAGCACCCCGGTCTCTAGCCCACCAGTCCCTCACTCCCTGCTTTGCCTGTACTGGCAGGATGAGGGGTCCATCAGTTAGCTTTTCTGGGCTAATGTTTCCAAAGTCCTCTTGGCTTTCAACAAGCATTCCTATCACTTGCTCACTCCCGCTTGGGTGTTAGCAGCTACAGGCTAGTAGCTGAGTTTCTGCTCCACATGTCTTTTCATTCTGAGATCACTGCTGAAGGAACATCCTCTTTGGGGGACATGTTGTCCTTAGGGTGGAGAAGAAGAATAAGAAGCTAGCAGGGCTGGGCGGTATCTCTTAAGGTTCTTCTCTGGAGGATTGATGGCTCATCTATGTATGGTCTTTTAGCTGAAGCATATCCCGCTGTCGAGCCTGACTCCAGCAGGAGATGGTGTGCCTGTCATAGGGAGCTTCTTACTCTACCAGGCCATAGGTGAGGGCGGACAGTGCTTGTCCTGGGAAGGGAGATCTGCAGATAACTGGCGACAGCAATGTAGTCCATGAGAGAAGAAACTCCGTTCCTGTAAGAGGGTGACTGACGTCATCTGTAGAAAGACAAGATGGTATGATTAGTGAAAGCTTAGCTTGAAAGGTCAGCCTCTTACTGACCTGACCAGACTACCTCTTCAAGGCTCAGTGTCCACCTCTGTCAAATAGGGACAGTGCCTCAGCCTCACAGGCTGGATTAAATGTGAAGCTGCAGTTTAACACTGGGCTCAGCACGTGGACTTAATGCCAGACAGCATTCTGTAAGAGGACTGGTTATAGGGCTGAGCAGTGCTGGCATTTGATGTGAGGGCCGCTTTGACAAACAAGATGATGGAGGAGAAGGGGAAAGAAAGATGCGGGCTGGAAGGGAGATGTTGGACAAGACGAGGGCAGAGATTGGAGAGTTGGGGTCTCTTAGCAGAGGGTTGGGGAAAGTGGTTGTCAGTCCTTGCTTTTCCCAGACTAACTTCTGTCAGCTCCTTTCCAGAGTGACTATTCTCGGGAGGCCGAGCACCAGTTAGGCAGCCTGGAACAGCCCTGGTCCATGAGAAGGGCCTCCAGGGAATGCTGTGCTTAGGAAGCAAGCAGCAGCTGAGTGGATGTGCCCAGGCAGGTGGCCCTAGGGGAGAAGCCCAAACCTCTGGGGTTCTGAGCGCTGCCAGCCAGTGGTATTTATCTTCTCAGAGCCCAAGCATCTGGCTGTTGGCTTCCGGCTCAGCAGCTCTGCAGTGGATTTCCATATCCTCCAAAACCTTGTGTCTGACCTCATAGAAAGTCCTTGGGGAAAGGAGGCCCTGACTCAGAGGCCTGGCCCCCAGGGCCTGACAGTAATCTCTAGGGCAGGGGAAGGAAGGAGGGGCATGCCTCCCATGCTCAGCCTCCCTCTGCTGCTTCCTCTCACTGGCTGCATTGCCCCGCCCCAGCGTGGCTAGCAACACCTAGGAGCAGTACCGCATACATCCGTCACCACTTGCCACAGAGTCCTGGAGAGTCCAACCTCGGGGCTTGAGAACCACTCCTGTAAAAGACAGAGCTGACCATCAGAGGTGCTCCTCTGCTGCAAGAAGATCCCAAAGGGCCCTTCTGGCTACCCCACTTGCCAGCAGCCCCTGCCTGCCATCCAGCAGAGGGTGCCCAGAGTGCTGTAACGGCATCCTGAGCCCTGCCGCCTACCCCTCCTCACAGCTCCTCATTCCTTCAAAAACAGCTGAAACACCCCTTCTCTGAAAACGTCTCACCATCCCCATCCCAGCCTTTGCCGAGGACTTTGTTTTGCTGCCATCTCATGTAATTCATTCCAACTCCTCCTTGGAAGTGGTTCATGTTACAAATATGGAAGTTGGCATTCAGAGAGGTTACTCCTTTCACCTGAAGTTACACAACTAGGAAAAAGCAATCAGGACTTGAATCCAGATCTGCCTTGAATCTAAAGCTAAACTCTGTATGAAAGCACAAAGCTACACTTGTCACAGAAAGCTTCTGCCAGTGGTGGTGGCTCTCCTTCCCCAGTGACCCTGCTTGTTCTGGTTGGTTTCCGTTGTGATGAACACCATGCTCAGAAGTGACTTAGAGGAAGAAGGGGTTATTTGGTTTACAGGTTATATGTAGTCCATCACTGAGGGAAGCCAAGGCAGGAAGCTTCAAGCAGAAACCAAGGAGTGCTGCTTGCTGCTTTGATCTCTTGCTTACTCCAAAGCTCATGCTCAGCTAGCTCTTCTGTTCAGCACAGGCCCACCTGCATAGGGAGGGGCACTGCCCACCGTGGGCTTCTATGTCAACTAGCAATAAGACGATGTCTCAGAGACGTGCCCATGGGAAATCTTTTTTTGTTTTTTGAGACAGGGTTTCTCTGTTGTAGCCTTGCTTGTCCTGGACTCACTTTGTCCAGGCTGACCAGGCTGACCTCAAACTCACAGAAATCTGCCTGCCTCTGCCTCCTGTGTGCTGGGATTAAAGATGTATACCACGACTGCCCAGCTCCACAGGCCAATCTTTTTTTTTTTTTAAGATTTATTTATTATGTACACAATGTTCTGTCTGCATGTACACCTGTAGGCCAGTAGAGGGCACCAAATCTCACTATAGGTGGTTGTAAGCCACCATGTGGTTGCTGGGAATTGAACTCAGGACTTCTGGAAGAGCAAACAGTGCTCTTAACCTCTGAGCCATCTCTCCAGCCCCCACAGGCCAATCTTAAAGGAAACTCCCCATCTCCATAAAATGGACCCAAGGTTTCAAGAAACCTGCTGCCCATGGAATTCCAGAAAGCTAGCCCTGGACTCTAGGCCTCAGAAAAAGCAGCCCGACTTCTTTCCTACCCTGCAGTTTCAAAAAAGTTTATCTAGAAAAAAACAAACAAACCAACAACAATGAAACCCTCCTGTCCCTACTCCTCACTGCAAAAGTTGATTCTTAGACCCTTTTTGGCAGGCATGTTTTCCTGGACTGTCAGATGGCGAGCTGCAGGGTTTGGAGCTACCTGCCTCTCAGGCCAGTCAATGTGCAAGGTCCTCTCTTGCCACTTGCAAGTCACATTAAGTATCCTTTTATTTTCCTCCACTGACCCTTAGAGCTTTGATCTGGCAGTCCTCTGGTGAGGCTCCTTTACCCTGGGGACTCCAGTGAACACTAACCAGTGCACTGTTGTTTAAGGTGGGCAAACATGCTGGGTTTCCTATACTAGGCCTTCAGTCAGGTGAACCTTTTTCCTCCTGCCTGTCCTCTGTTCCAAACGCCCTCCATACTGTGCACGTCCGTTTCTGATACTTCTCGTGTGAAGAATCCTCTTTTGTGGCCAGTTAACTCTGCTTCACTAAGATTGACCCTGTTTCTCCACCTTCATCACTCGCTCCCTCAGGCCATTCAAAGAGATGTCTTGCTGTATTGGGGGAGGGGTATAAAATCAAGTAGAGTTATTGGGACACTGCACGCAAGCTTTGCAGGACTCTGCGGTAGAAATCAACTGCAAGCCTCCCTCAGAGCAGGGCATGGGCGTGGTGGAGGATGTAGGCAGACCTGAGGCTTTGTGGATAAGGGTTCTCGTCTTTCTGTTCCTGTGGTAGAACTCTGATAAGGGGTCTTAGGGCAGGAAGGGGTTTACTTCATCTTATAGGGTGTAGTCCATCACTGAGAGAAGTCAGGACAAGAACTCAGAAGCAGGAACTATGGAGGGACACTGTTTGCTGGCTCCCTTGCAGCTTTATTCTTCCTTAGTTTCCTTAAACAACCCAGGACCACCTACCCAGGGAATGTTGCCACCCACAGATTGGACCCTCCTACATCAGTTTACAATCAGCAGTCCCCCACAGGCCAGTCTCATCTGGGCAGTCCAGTCCTTCAAGAGGACTTCTTTCTCATGATTCCAGGCCATGTCAAATTGGCAGATAAAGACAGCTAGAACAGAAGGGAAAACCTGTGACCAGGGAGGTACCCAGAGTGGCTCCCTGGCATTTCTTTGGCCTGGGTCTGACTACCATGGTTCCCACCTCTACCTCCAGGTGGTGTCCCCCCGAATGTGGATCCTGAGGCCTACTCCTGGTTCCAGTCAGTGGATGCTGATCACAGTGGCTACATCTCCCTCAAGGAGCTGAAGCAGGCCCTAGTCAACTCCAACTGGTCCTCGTTCAATGATGAGACATGCCTTATGATGATAAGTGAGTTCTGCCCTTCCAAGAGCATGCAGGCTTGAGCTGGGTCCAAGCTCCCTGACAGTTGACAGAAGTGGGCAAGCAGTCAGCCTGCAGAGAACTACAGCCAGGGAGGGAGCTGGGTTCAGATGCGATCTCCTTTATCTGGCATCATCGTCAAGTTCTAGTTCAATAAATTACAGGCTGGTCCAGTTTCCCATTCTGCAGGCAGACACTCCCTTCCCTAGTAAGAAACTACAGGCAGGGGCTCAGCATGGACCCAAGTCTTGGAGCTAAGCCATCAGCCCTGCAGAATCTGGATGGGACAGGGCTGACAGTGGCCAGTGGGGAGGGCAGGTGCTGCTGGTGGTGCCATGTCTCAGGCACAGGGCTTTGCTTCAGCCTGGGAGAAGGGCTGCCTCAGTGCTGCCCTTGGCCCGCAGTCTTGAAGCTTTCCTCCCTCCTTCCCCTCCTCCTACTCAGACATGTTTGACAAGACCAAGTCTGGCCGCATCGATGTTGTTGGCTTCTCAGCCCTGTGGAAATTCCTGCAGCAGTGGAAGAGCCTCTTCCAGCAGTATGACCGGGACCACTCTGGATCCATTAGCTCCACAGAGCTGCAGCAAGGTAAGGGCCCGGTGGGCACAGTGGGCATGGCGCAGCTAGTCTGCTTTTCATGCCTTTAAAACACATCAAGGGGTTTTGCTCTCACTGCCCAGTGCCTCCCTGTACCACTCATTCCACCAGTTCTGCACCCTGGATGGAATCTGAGCCAAGATCCAGGGCCAGGCAACACTGCGTCTAAATCAGTGCTGGGCTCCGTGGTGACAGGACTCCAGACAGTGCCGAGTAGGACAGCCCCTCTGAGAGATGGGAACTTGGGAGGGCAGTGCAGTTCCTTCTTGTGGTCCCAGCATGCATCATGGAAAGAGCCCTGCTTCAGGGCTCAGTTCTGTCACCACCTAGCCAGAGGCCTTTCCTCTTCAACTCTGAGACCCAGGGCCTTCTCAGAGTCCAGAGTAGGTAAGAGGACCTGGTGCCACAGTGTCACATCTGGCTCCAGTCAGACTCTGAGGTCAGGCCTGCAGCCTGGGCTCAGGCTGGTAGGTTACAAGGACAAATGGCTAATGTGGCTCATGTTCTCAGAATAATGATAATGTTCTCCTAGAGCCCGGTGGGGAGTTTCATCACCTCAGAGAGGAAAGGGCTGCCCACAGGGTCCAGGTTCTGTGTCCAGGCCATGCATTTCACTCAGAAGTTCTGTGGATGGGGATGAGTATGCCGTGTCTGCGCCTGCCAAGAGGGAGGGGTGATCAGCACTGAGCACTGCCTTGCAGGCTCCTTCCGTGGATGTTGATAGCAATAACAAAATTAGCATCAGTGTTTGCCATGCCCCAGGCACTGTAATAAGCATTGGAGTAGGTTCCTGAAATTCATCTTCCTGTTTGCCATTCCACACAGATCGGCGAAGGATCCCTCTGGTCTCCCTTTTACAAGTGACAAAACTGAAGCTTAGTTTCTTGCTCAGGGGCTCACAGAGCAGGGAGCTCAGATTGCTCCTGGGCAGGCGAGGAATGCTGAATAGGCAGGAGTCATCTCAGCGGCCTGCAGGCTGTGGCCTGATACCCCAGGATATGGCCTTTATCTAAAACAGGACACTGCATGTGCTGGAGGCCTCTGTGGCCACCTTTAATCCTTATTAGAAGCACAGGTTAACTCTCACCCCTGCATGAGTGGCAACAAGAGGGGCTGGTGAGGTTTGGCAGGGCGAGCAAGAACTGCCTGCCTGGTGGCCCATGTGCTATCCTCCTGTCTCTGACGTCTGCCTCGCCAGGGTGCTTAGTGGCTCAAGCGTCCTTCTGTATCACAGATGGCCACTGGCCTCTCTGGGATCTCATGAACCTTGTCAGTGAGGAGATGGGTGGGGGAGGCACCTCCAAAGAGAGCTCCTTCTGTGCTCCTGACATCTGACTGGCTCCCCAGGACTTCTCTGTCTTCGTGCTTCTGAGCTGCTGCCCCACCCCAAGCCCCCTGATCTGCTGTGTGCCAGTGCTGCAGTTCCTAGTGAGGTGCTCACAGCAGGCCTCTGTTCTCCGTGTCCTTCCTCTGCAGCTCTGTCCCAGATGGGCTACAACCTGAGCCCTCAGTTCACCCAGCTCCTGGTTTCCCGCTATTGCTCGCGCTCTGCCACTCCCGCCATGCAGCTCGACTGCTTCATCAAGGTGTGTACCCAGCTGCAGGTGTTGACTGAGGCCTTCCGGGAGAAGGATACCGCTGTACAGGGCAACATTCGGCTCAGCTTTGAGGACTTCGTCACCATGACGGCTTCGAGGATGTTATGACTCAACCTGCCTAAGGGAGTGGAGCACACCAAGGGCTGTGGGCCTCTCCTCTTTTCCTCCTCCCCTAGCCGGAGCTAGGCAGACAGAAGCTTGACTGTCCTGGCTATGGAATGGCACAGCCTTGGGGGCACTGGTGGTGGCGGCGGTGGAGTAAGTGACTGCTCAGCTCTGGCTTTCCCCTCTACTCCCTGATGCCAGTGCTAAGTGCTCATCGGCTGGCCTCTTTCTGGTACTCCCTGTCATCCTGGCACCGAGGCCACCATGTCAGTGAGCCCAGTTTCTGCAAAGTGGAATCAGACTGAGCATGAGGGAGATTTGCTGGGACCAGTGCCAGGGATTCCTCGACTCCCACATTTCCTGGTATGTTAGCGTTAGTTTACCTGAGACCTTGCCTGCTAAGAAGCTTGGACAGTCTGCCATCTCGGCCATATCTGATGAGGCCCATGACCTCCAAACCTTGGCCTGCCATGTTCCACTCGGCTTCACTCCCCAGGAGACAGTTGTCACATCCTACGCCAATGTTGTTTTTAATTTGCTTTTTTTTTTTTTTTTTTTTTCCCAGTTGGGGCCAAAAGTCCAGGAAACTAAGCTTCAATAAAAGACTGTAGTCCCATGTTTCCCCTGTGACTTCTCTGCTCTGTGTCTGTATTCATCCATTCATTCACTCGTTTGAGTACGGAAGCATCTGCTGCTTTCCAAGGCATGCAAAAGAAGCTGACCTAGGGGTCCTGGTGGCCCTGGTGATCATCTTGTTTGCCAGGGTGAAGTTGGGGCCCTGCCAAGTTCCTCTGTGTCTGGGATCTGCCCAAAGGCTGTGTTTCTTAACGTTTTAGGGCTGCCATTCTGGGCTGGAAGCAGCCACCCCAGACCTCTAACTGTGGGTCTTTTTATTATCTTAGGCCTGAGTTTTATCTCCCAGACAAACTCCATTTATAAAGTCATAACTCTCCCCCTGCTTTTATTAAGCACAGACACCAGTACCTGCCAGTTGCTTTTCTAGATCAGCGTGATACCCCCCGTCTGCACTGTGTCTGTAATGAGCTGACAGAATTTCAATCAAAAGCTGAAGACACCAGACATTCTAGTTGGCTGGGAGGTGGTGGTGGGGGTTATCACAGATAATGGTGTGATTATCCTCCGGCTTTGGGAGATGAAGATAAGAGCTCTGAGGCTCAGAGGCCTTCAGCAGGACTGTCCTCCCAGCAGGGTTGGGGTAGAGAGTGGCTGTGACTGTTTTCCAGGTCACAGAGACCAGCAGGCCTATGTGGCTCGGCCAGTTCAGCTCCTCAGGCTGCTGTGGCTCTGCGGTCCTAGAATCAAGAGGCCAGATCCAAGAGGCCAGCCCCATCCATTCCTGGAGTTCTCTTAAGCGACTCTAAGGAGTCCAGCCTCTATCTACCAACCTCCAGGAACCAAAAGAAAGGGGGAATGGGACTTTCCGGGTTGCCTCTTTTTATCTTCAGGCGCCAGAAGTCTTCCTGTTCTAACTTACAGCTTTGGAAACACATCCACTGGCCCTAGTTTTCTCTCTTGGGCTAGCCAGAGCACAATCCCCTCCTTTCTGCATGCCATTCTTCTGGACAGTTGAGCCTACCACATCTCCCCCAGCGCACCCTAACTGCTCTCATAGACTAATGGGCTTACCCGGCATTCCCCAGCCCGGGTTCTCTTGTACACTAGGCGGCCCTGCATTTACCCTCCATTCCCCAGCCCAGGTTCTCTTTTAGACCCGGTAGCCCTGGGCTTAGCAGATGCCCCTCACTGAGCAGCACTCCTCTTGGTCTCTTAGCTGTCCCCCCATCCCAGCATGTGCTTCCCAGTGGGTATCAGAGCTCCCCAGGCAGATGTGTAAAGGCCCACCATGGTGCTGGCTTTTACCAGCAGAGTAAGGTAGTGCTGCGCCCCTGCAGGAAGCTCCCACGTCCCTGCTCCTGCCAAGCCGTGTCCACTAGAAGACATTTTTGTTTTTCTATGTGGTGCCGGAGATGGAACCCAGCGCCTCACGTGTTAAACAAGGACTCTACCACCTAGCTACACCTCTAGCCCCCACAACCATCTTTAGAGTGGTGTCAATCATAATCTACTTTATCCTGGGAGGGGGTGTTGAGAGGTCAAGACGGGGGATCCAGCCCTCACACCTCATCCCAAGTACACTGTACCCCTGGACTTGCCTATATGCTTGATTTGGATTGCAAGGCCAGTGGGAGCACAGAATGGTCAAGACTGCTCACCCCTGCTGGCCAGCCATGGCTGCTGGGCTAATGAGTCCATAGAGCATGTACACCTGACCTGAGCAAAATGGCATGCCATGCCATACAAGGAGCCATGATGCCTAGGTGCTCCTGGACTGGCCTCCAAGACATTGTTCCACTTACTGACCGGTGAGGTCAAGGAAGCCTGTAGATCCATTAAACACCTGCTGGTGTTTAATGAAATGAAATGAAAGCGGCAGCCCTTGTAGGCGGCAGTCAGGGGGCTGTGCCGGTACCTCAGACTTCATCCCCCAAAGCAATGGGAGAAGAGGAACAGCACAACACTGTCACCCCCAGTGGCCTCAGCCAGATGTCCCCTGCTCCTCATAGCAGAGTGGCACTCCAGAAGGTGCTCTCCTTCTGCTCTGGCAACAAGAGGCCTTTTTGGCAGCCGTGTAATCAGCTCATTGGCAGCCGGAGCATGGCTGGCCAAATCTAGGGCCCTCTGTATTCTGCGAGTTCACAGAAAATAAAACGAAGCCCTGATTTCCAAGGAACGGTAAATCTGTCAACCCACTCTGGGCCCACCCACCTCCTTACCTTCCAGTCCAGAGGCCATCGGTCAAGGAACAGAAAGTGTGTCAGAGAGCAGCGCCCTGGGCACCGGCGGCTGGGTACTGCCCAGAGGCAGCCTGGGCCTGCAGTCAGTCCATCTGGGGTGGGGGTGGGGTCTTGCAGATCGTAGCATTCCAGAGCTTTCTCTTGCCGTCCCCCCAGCTACCCCACCTTCCACTACTAACCTGAGCGGCACAGATTTTGTGTAATGACAAGGAAAGGGAACATTCGGTGCCAGGCTTTTAATTACAGTTGCTTCGGGCTGCTGGCATGCTGAATGGCCACATGGAGGGTGCTTAAGCACTCCGAGATGCCGACAAGATCCAGCCCGTGGTGCGTGCAGTCCACACCTGGAGAGGGTGGACTGCTTCAGAGCCCTCCGAGAAGGGCTGAACCCAAATTACTTCACAAGGACATCAGGGCAGCTGGCCATATGCGGCCTGGGCTTCGGGTGGCCTTCAGACCTCTAGAGCAGACTTCAGCCAGGGGGAAGTCCTATAATTGAGTAGGAGACAGGTCTCTGGGAGGCAGGCCAAGCTCTGAAAGGGTGGGGTGGCATTGTAGGGTATAGCCACATGAGACAGGTAGCACAGTAGCCACGTCCGCAGGAGTAGACGGCTTGCAATGCTCTCCGCTTCCTCGAGCACGCTTAAGCCGCCTATCAGCCCAGCTTAGGGGACACAACCTCAGAGAGGGAATGACTCTGGCCGAGTCACCCAAGCAGAAAGCCAGGACCGGAGCCACAGCTACTCTCTGAGCAGCAGCAGTCTTTGCATGAGTGCAGGGGCGGATCCCAGGCAAAGGATCAGGCTGTGCCTCCCAGAGCTGGGGCCAGCCCCACTCAGGACAGCACTGTGGTGACGCTGGTCAGCACGACGTGTTCGGAGACTTTGGAGACGGAACACCGGCTCTGCAAGGACAAGGACTTGTGTCTGGCCGAGGAGCGGGGACCCAGACCAGGCAGACAGCAGGAGAAGGCGGCCTTAAACTGCTCCCGAAATTTGCCTTGGTTGGGAGACAAAAGACACAGCCATAAGGGGACAAATGCAGCAGGCACGGGCTTGAGCTCAAGAAACACCTGCATAGCTCCAGTCAAAGCTGCCTGGTGGGCAGAGAGGGAGGGGTAGAACCAGGGACAGAGAGCCCAAGGCTACCTCAGCCCTGCCAGCCAGAGAGGAGGAGAGGGCCCCAGCGGGTTCCTGGAGCAAAATGCAATTGTCTTGATCCCTTGACTGCACTCTGGCGAGGAGCCTGGCTCAAGACGTGGCGTCTGGCTCAGAGGCCTCAGGTCACCTGTGCCACCATGACATGTGTGTCGAGGGAGCTCAGGGTTCACACTGTTGCTAGCCTCCCCCAGCTCTGCCCAACAGGGTTGAAATGAAAGCGGCAGCCCTTGTAGGTGGCAGTCAGGGGGCTGTGCCAGTACCTCAGACTTCATCCCCCAAAGCAATGGGAGAAGAGGAACAGCACAACACTGTCAGCTCATGTGTATGTGCTGGGGGGACAGAGGTTCTCCTGAAACCAAACCCTCCGCAGTTGTGCCATCAGCCTCCCATTCTCTAGGATCCAGCTTAGGGCAGGGCACACAGGAGGTACTCAGGAAACACAGGCCAGAGCAAGGCATGTGCGTCTGGGTAGCTGCTTGTTCCTTCCTCTTCTGTAAAGTTCCACTCCTCTGCCCTGTCCTCTGAGCTGGGAAGTAGCCAGGCAGCTTTGGCTGAGTAACTCTTTTGATTCCCAGCCAGAGCTACGCTAGTGACCTCTGACCTCTGACCCCTTGTCAAACATCTTCACTATTTTTGAGAGATCTGCATCCAAGCTCGGGCAGTCATCTTGACGGCTCCCCTGAAGCCTTGTCACAAATCTGCAGTCTGATGAGTCACTTCTGCTGAGCCCAAAGGTAAGGGGCCCACTGAGACCGAGGAGGAAGGTAGAGGACACAGGTGGGAATACAGGACAACATGGTGGGAACGGGGCCAGGGGGCCTGTACTCCCAGAAGAGAGAGTGGAAGTTTGCTTTGAGGCTCATGGATCCAGGGATAGCCAAGATTCTGGCCACCCTACCCTGTGTCTGGCTGTCTCTGCTGATGACTACCCTTGTCCCTCAGCTAGACTATACACTCTCCCCTCAGCCAGGCCCTTCTGGGTGCTCCAGGCCTGGCTCCCTCTAGGAACACAGATTGCTCTGTCTGTACCAGCCAGAGAGGAACTAATAGAAAATCTTACTGTGTGTGCTCCCTGGATGGGGGACAGAGGCCCAAGCCCTGTCCTTCCTCTTAGGCACTGGTCTGTGGGTATGTCAGACTCCATCCTGGGTATTCTCTACCGTCCAGAGCTCAGCTCACAGCTCATGGGAAGAGCATTGGATTCGAGTCTCCCCTATGAGTGAAGGGTTCCCAGGGAGAGCTGGAGAGCCATGCACCCTCCCCTTCCAGGCTGAGATGGACCCTAGGGACTGTGCCACCCTCAGCCACTGCATGCACGGTCCACTTACCACTCAGGAAGTTGTAGATGATGGGGTTGGCAGCGCTGTTGGCGTACACCAGCCAGTGGGAGAAGGTGAAGCAGGCATAGATGGCTTCCCGGTCACTGGCTTGCCGGAACATCCCAAACACTCTAGTGCCAACGAGAAGGATGGTGAGAGATAGGAGGTGGACAGGGGCGGAGGGACCCACAGAACTCTAGCTAGAAGGTGTCCCCACTGTTCACTACCATCTCCTTGGGGCACTCAGCCTGAGATCTTGACCCCAACTTTGGGTACCCAAGCATGGATGATGACCAGAATGGGACAGGGACCAATATGATCTGCCCTGACTCCGACTATCAGATCCTCCATCTACCTCCTTATCCATCCCAACAGAAACAGCATGTCATGGACAGCATCCATTCTTCAGTTAAACAAGCTGAGGCTTAGAGAAGCCCAAGCCCAAGATCATACAAATCAAGACAGGGCCAAACCCAGGCTGTCCCTTGTCCAATACTCCATGACCTCCCACTGACAGCCCCTCATCTGCTGTGTCCCTGTGTCCTTCTGCCTAACCTGCTGTCCTCCAGACCCCTGATGCTTGCTCCTGGCTTTGAACTCATGATCCTCTTGCCTTGGCATACTGAGTGCGAAGATTCCAGACACTCACCTCCCAGCTTCTTAGAGAAGCCCTACCGCTACAACATATCTGAGACAAAGCCAAACCCACCAGGCCCCATCATCACTCTGTCCTCAGTCTGTATTTTATTTTCTTTAAGGTCCTCACTGCCTGATACACTGATTTCTCTATTGATTTTTCTTCTTTCATAGACTGCAGCCTCTGTGAAGACAGGGCTGTTGTCTGTCATTTGTATCCAGTCACCCTTGATAGCCAAGTGCATGGAGGAACAGGTTTTTCTTATTGCCCTTGGCGTCGGGTATCCCCGAGCAACACTAGAGGAAATGGAAACAAGGCAGAGCAGTCGCCTGCCCCGGGTTGGAGAGGAGTGGAGTGAATGGCAGCCTTGCCAGGCCCCAAAGCTCCTCCCCACTTGCTCCCCGTGTGTCCTCACCTCTTAAGGACATTGAGGACACTGATGGGCAGATAGCAGAGTGCAAAAACCAGCAGAACCACCATCAGCATCTTAGCCGTCTTCCTCCGAGCGCGCATCTGCTTCACCTCAGCCAGGAAGGCTCGGGCCCGGGGCTGGGGCTCTGTACACAGGCCCTCGTGCTGAGCCTCCAGTTGCTCTGAGGGTCGCTTCCAGTTCCGCACCAAGGCCGATGTGGTACCAGGGATCTATCCAACACACACACACAAGTGCCTTTGACTAGGGCCTGGTGAGCAAGGCGGGGACATAGAAGGAAACGGCCACACTGTAGGGTCTGAATGCCTTCGTAACTGCTCTCCCAGCCTCCTGAGATCTGTAGATCCATCACTGGGGATGGGGTTAAGAGCTGAATCATGAAGAGATGTTCATGCCACACTGTCGGGAGGCTTCAGTGAGGGCCTAGGTACCAGGACTTAGCTCTCCACCTAGGTGAATACCCAGAAGCCTGAGTAGTTCTGGGCTCCCAAAGCAAGCACACACTGGAAGTCTCGCCTACCACTGGAAACTCCTCCCATCACTGGAAGCCCCTCCCACCACCGGAAGCTCCTCATACCACGGACATTGCAATCACGCTACAACTCCGAGGCAGAGGCATGGCACCAGAAGGCAAGAAGCTAGAGTTCAGAGACTGTTCACACGCTCACAGGCTGTGTGAAGTCCCTAAACCTTTGTTTCCTTAAGGTAGACCACTCAGGAGAGCTCTAACAGGGCGTGCCCACAAGGCAGGTCCTGGGTTTAACCCGCTCCTCTCCCAACCCTTTGTCCTGTGTGGCCTAGGCATGGGTTAGCATTGTTCAGATTGTACGGGACATCCCTGAAGGTTGGTGTCACTGAGGTCAGTCCAGGTCCTCTCACTGCCTAGATACTGACCCAGACTTACTGCCACTAGCGCAAATGGCTCTTAGCACCCATTTTCCCGAGAGCACAGCCCCAGGAAATCCATGATGGGTCTGTGCAATGAGGGCAAAGTCAGGCCTGGAGCCAGCTGGCCTCACTGGCCTTGCCCGTCACACTCTGCAGTGGGCAAAAGTGCCTCTTTCCTTAGCTGTAAGACACTGGTGTGAAGCTGAGCTGGGCAAGCCACCCAGAATGACAATGGTTAACACTTGGATACTAAGCTGAGCACTGGAGCCTCAGGCTTGGGTTTTAAACACCCCCCCCCCAATTTTCTACTCACTAGCAGAGTGCTTTGGGGGACCTTGTCTTGCTTCCTCTGGGTCTGCTTTCTCCCATGTTTAGGGAGAAAGGCAAGAGATACGGTGATTAAAGCTAGCTCTGTAATCCTAGCTACTAAAGAGGCTGAGGCGGGAGAATTGCCAGTTCACGCTAGTCAGGTCAATTTAGCAAGACCCTGCCTCAACGTTTAAAAAAAGGAAGGAGGGAACAGGGGCTGGGGAGAAAGTCCTGGGGATATTCTTCAGTGGCAGAACACTTGTCTAGCATATGTCAAGGCCCTGGACCTGCTGTACCAAGAGCTAATTGATTAATTAAGAAAGGCTGCAATTCACGTTGGGGCCTCCAGCTCTTCACATCCCTGGGCCTGGCCTCTGTACTCGCAGTAGAGACAACACGTTCTAATGTCAGGGACCATCTACTCCCATCAGAACAACAGCTGCACCTTCCCAGCCCCGACGGTGACAGCAGAGCGAGCCTCACCTGTCGGCCCCAGAGCTTGCGGAAGATCTGGAAGTAGGCCATGGCCATGAGGCCCAGCGGGGCCAGGTAGGTGACAATGAAGAAGCAGCTGTGGTAGATCTTGGGGTAGAGTTCATCTGTAGGGGTTGTGAGATGCAAGCGTCAGGTCAATCCTGGGAGTTCCAGTCCGCCTCAGCAATGCCACCTTATCCCAAAAGGACCAAAAGAAGACCTGAGGACAACTGAATTTCACCATGGCAGGGAGAGAGCCTAGAATTGCCAGGTCTAGTGGTATCATTCTGGAAGGATTCCTAGCTGATGTCCACATTAGGGAGGTACCTGCCCTGGGTGTATCCACCCTGAAAGTCCCCTATACGCAGTCCCCAGAGGTGCCCATCATTACCTGCCCAGTGCTCATCACAGACAGAGAAGAGCCGGGTACGATTGGCTAGCTCAGGCAGCACACTGCTACACTCCATGACAGCAGCCTGGGGCACCATGACAGCCAGTGACACAGCCCAGATGCCCAGGATGGAGCCTCGGGCACGGCGAGCTGTGCTCTTGAACAACAGGGGGTGGCAGATGGCATACCAGCGGTCCAGGGCGATGAAGCTGAGAGTCAGCACTGCCACCGACACCGACACGGCCTGCCCCACGGGGACACAACGTCAGAGGTGTGGAGGGGGGCAGTTCCCAGCTCAGCGCTGCCAGTGCAGCAAATTCTGACTCCAACCCTTTCTGCTGTGTGAATCTGGGCAAGTCACTCACCCTCTCTGAGCCTCATCTGCGGAATGGGAATATGACATCTATCTGGCAGAATGCTGGTAAGAGTAAATGAAGCCATGTATGGAAAATGTCCCGTTGGAGGCCTGACAAACACTAGGCACTGCTCTTCTGTAAACGATGACACTTCTCTCCCTAATTTTTCTAAATAATTTATTTAAATCTTTTTTTTAATGTACATTGGTGTTTCGCCTGCATGTACATCTATCTGTATGAGGGTGTCAGATCCCCTGGAACAGGAGTGACAGACAGTTGTGAGCTGCCATGTGGGTTCATGGGATTTGAACCCGGGTCCTCTGAAAGAGCAGCCAGTGCTCGTAACGGCTGAGCCATCTCTCCAGCCCTTCTTTCCCTATTTTTACAATCCGTGAGGTGGGTGTTGTGTTACAGGTGAGAAGATAAGATACGTGACTCCCCCTCACATTTAATCTCAACAGAGTGAATCAGTTGAGCAGAAGACCTCGAAGCAGAGAGAAATCCAGGAGGCGTCTCTGTCTCCCCGGAAGGTCACCCCTTCCTTCCCTGTGCTGTTGGGAAAGCCCTCTTATTCTGAGAGGCGTAGCTGAGTCGGCTAGTAGAATAGGTGACAGTGCCTCAATACTGTGCCTCATGGTGTTCAGGTTTCCCAGGGTTCAGGAAGAGGACTGAGGGCGACTGAGAGGCCATGGTGGCCTCTGGCCAGCCCTCCTCCCATTCCACTGATACCATCTGGGCATCCTGGTGCCCGGTATTGGAAAAGGAGACTAGAGAGGAGAGAGTTCCATTTAACCCTCTGGGTCCCCGCTGGGGTCAGGGAGCAGACCCAGTGAGTGTTTGGGTCTGTCACTGTGGGCCTCTGTCTGCTCTCTGCGTATTCCTGGACGTAACTGTGTGTGTACACATGACCGGGTTTGTACCTGTCACCAGGGGATGTCTATGTGAGTGTGTGGGCTGTGTCTGTGTTCTCGAGTGTCCAGCCTGGTGGTCTGGATGAGGCCCGAGCCACCGTGACTCGCCTGAAAGGCAAGCCTTAAGGTTACCGAGCCCCACCAGGGTGGTAGGTTTTAGACAGGTGTGGTAGAGGCTGCTGAGGTGCGTGGGAGAGCTAACCTGTAGGTAGGGGATGACCTTGCACAGGGCAGGGCCGAAGAGCCACGATTCAGTGATGTCCACCAGCAGGCTGGCAGGCAGGCAGATGGCAGTCACCAGCACATCTGCCAGGGACAGGTTGACAATGAAGTAGTTGGTGACTGTCCTCATGTGGTGGTTCCGCCACACAGCCAGGCAAACTGCAGAGAGCATCAGGGTGAGGCGAAGCCGGCAGCAGAGCACAGCATGTCCCATTCTGCTGGGAAACCCAGCCCTCACACAGCCACCTCCGCAGCAGGAAGGGGTATGAAGGCCAGGCCCGGGACTCCCTCCAGTCCTCAGAAGGAGACAGACACCTACCCAGGGTGTTGCCCACCAAGGCAATGAGGAACACGGCCACGTAGGCCGCGATGAGAACCCACTCGTACTGCTTCGGGTAGAGATAGTCCCGCCACAGGTAGCGGAGGAACTCATCCTCATAGTCTGGAGGTAGGCGGAAGGATTCCCCGCTACTAGTGGCGGCTGCGGCCTGGGCCCCGGGAGTGGCCGAGGGTTCCATGGGCTCGGGAGCCGCTTCAGCTGAGGAACATCCTGGGCTCTGTGGAGGAAGAGGAACTCCCACAAGCCCTCAGCCCACTTCCTTCAGGGGACCCTGATCTTGCACTCAGATCTTTGGGGTCCCAGCCCAAAACTTCCTGAAGGAGGGAAGAGGGGAGGGAAGTGGGGGAAGAAGGGGAAAAGGGAACATCAGGGGCATTACCTACCTTCCCTCTCTTTTATTCTTAGTCATGAGTTGGGATGCCTCCCTCATTCAGTCTGTTTCCCCATCCAACGGAGTCCAACGAAGTGTTAAAGATACCTACCTCCCAGGGCCACGATGAGGGCTATTGAACTCTAAGGCTTGGGCACCACTTCACCCAGAGCCTGGTACGCCCAGAAGCCGGCCTTCCAGTCAGTGTCTGGTATCATTAGCGAGCACTGCTGTGCGGGTGAAGAGATGGGAAGCTGAGAGGCTGAACCCCTTCAAGGTCACAAAGCCAATCCAGGTCTGTCTGCGTCCTCCAGCCATCTCCGATTCAGAAAGGGAACCCATTCCCAATGGCAAATACTGAGTCAGTTCTCAAGCCTTGATTAGGGGTTGAGACGCAGGTTCAGGGAGATATTGAAGACCTAGGGGCCCCCCGCTAGACCGTCAGCTCTTCCTCAGTGCGTGCACACGCGCGGGCGCGCACACACCCTCGAGGAAGAGTGCGGGAAGGGACTGACCACCTTCCTAGGTGAGAGGATGCGGTCCCTCTCCCAGAAACTGGGCTCTCAAGACCCCCTTGCCAGGTCTCCTGGAGTCCCCGGGGCCGCTATGCTCCCCGACGGCCGCCAGGGGTCGCTGAGCCGGCGCGCAGGCCGCTCTCCATTCATAAATCCGGCCTGGCTCAGGTCGCTCCCTCCTCCCTGGCTCAGACCCCTCCTCCCCCTGGCTGGGGAGGGCCGACCCCAGACTGGTGTGGGAGGGTGGAAGGTCCCCCCGGAGAGCCCTAGAGGAAAGGTCAAGGACGCTGGCCCACCGATTTCCCAGCGGGACCTTCCTGGTCCTTAGGGGGTCGGGGAGGATTCCCAGAAGGGGCAGCAAGTGCGCTAAAGGGTTCCGCGGGAGCCGCCCGGAGGTGAGCCGAGTGGGTGATGGCGAGGCCTCCCAGCACCCTGGCCATCCCCCAGGCTCCCTCCGCTGCTCCTCTTGAACCCCCAAGCCAGTCCCGGAGGGTCCCCCGCGCCCTGCACCTGTTGGCTTCCGGCGCCGGGCATCCTCGGTTGCTGCTACCTGGATCTCGCTCGCGGGACTTGGCCTTGGTGCGGGGCTGGGGACGGTGGCGGCATAGCCCCTCCTAAGGCGGCTCTGTCCGCCCGGTGGCTGCGCGGTCCGGGCTCTGGCGCCCGCGGTAGCTCGGGAGGGCTCAAGAGGGCTGCGCGCCGCGGGGAGGGGAGCGGGGCGGGAGACTGGGTAGGGAGGGGAAGGAGCCCCGGCCCCGTCGGCACTCGAGGTCGCCCAGCCGGAGCCCCGCCTTGCACTTCACGCTTCCATCCACGTCCATTCACGCGTCCACCGGCTCATTCATACCGCGAGCATCCTTTCCACACTTAGCTCCCGCCACCCCGCGTTCAGCGCTCAGCTAAGGGGTGTGTGGGGGCGGCGTCGGGGGGGGGGCGGCTCAGGGGTGGCCCCCATCTCTGCTTGCGGCCTCACCTGACTGATGAGGGGGGTGGCACAGGTGGGTGGCACGGGGGCGAGAGGATGCCAGGGCCGTTTCCAGGCAAGCCTAGGACGCGCTGGAGCAGCTACAGTCCGGAAACGTTAGAAAGCCCTGCCCTCTCCCGGGTCTCTGCCCCCAGTCCTTGTTTGTACCTATTTTCCCCAGCCTCAAGCACGGGCGTGAGGTGGAGACGGAAGAGGGGAAGCTGGGGGCGTCCATTAATTCAATAAACATTTGCCAAGCTTTGTGGTAAGCAAGGACCCCACAATACAGCCGCCATTTCCAGAGGGTACCCGATACTCGTTTCATCCCCGCGTCAGCCTGGTGAGGTGGTCGTTACTGACCCCATTTCACAGATAGGTGAAATGGATACACACGGCTCAGGGTTTTGTCCAAGGTCGGAGGCAGAGCTGACGTTCAAATCTATGTTCCATTCAGAACCACCAGCCCTGTCTCCTCTCTCCCCCTGTCCTGCAAAGGACCTTCGCCTCTCAAGGAGCAAGACATTTCCCTAAGGCGTCCACAAAGCTGGGAGAGATCCCCCGGTGGGGGGAGGGGAGGGGACTAAGGGCAGAAGAGCTTGCCCAGGGCTTCCTAGAGCAAGAACACCTGCTCTGACCCTTGACGACAGAGTGGCCCGCGGGCAAAGGTGGAGAGCGTGGGAAGAGGTCTTTAAGGTCGACAGCAGCAGGTGCAAGTGATGAGCCCTAGCAGGGCAATGGCGACCTCCCAGGCTTTCACCCAGTTCACCTCTTGCCTCCGGACAGGGTGGTCCAAGCAAGGAAGTCTCCTTTCACTCACATCCCTCCCCTCCTGGAAATGTAACCTTCTCTTGGTGGCCAGAACCCTCTTCCAAGGTGCTAGAGGTGCGAACAGGGAGTCTGTGAGCAGAGGACCGGGGCAGCACGCTCCTGGGTCTGGAGTGGACTAGGCAGAACTCTGTCCTTGGGTAGCTGTGGCATTCGTCTGCAAGATGGTGGGCAGGGGGTAGGTGAGGGACTGTAGGTGTGTTCGTGTGTGTGTGTGTGTGTGTGTGTGTGTGTGTGTGTGTGTTAGGGCATTCACAGAAGGGTTGCCTAAAGAATCCAGACTCATGGGGCTGGAAAGATGACCCAGTGGTTGGGAACGCTTGCTACTCTTCCAAAAGGACCCAAGTTCAATTCCCAGCACCCACATGGCAGCTCACAACTGTCTATAACTCCAGTTCCAGGTGGCCTGACACCTTCACACCAATGCACATAAAATTAAAAATTATATAAATATTAAAAAAAGAAGGCAGACTCTAGCCATGTGTATTCATATCTGTACAAGAGCAGGCTCTTGGGTGATGACTGGGTTCCCCCTGGGTAAGATATGTCTGTATGGGTCTTGATTATTCCCTGTGTTTAGGTGTTTGTGTCTAAGGACTGTGTGTGTGTGTGTTGGGGGTGTGTGTGTCTGTCTGTCTATGTGGGTCTCAATGTGCATCTGTGGTTTTGACCAGCCCTGGCCTCGCACAGGGTCTCCCTGCGAGTTTGGGAATGTGCGTGTAGGCATGCCCTTTGTGTCACCAGCTCTGCAAGTGCGCGAGTGTGGAACTCGGCAGTCTGCTCCCGTGGTGATGACTCACCCTTCTACATTCCCCCCCCAACCCCCATCACCACCAATCTGGAGCTGCGACCGTTTGCCAGGTCGTGGTCCCAGAGGAGGCTACAGCATGTGGAGGGATGGGAGGCAGATCGTGCAAGAATGCTCTCAAGTAAAAAAAAAAAAAAAAAAAAAAAAAAACAGCTGCTGCAGGCAAGGTGCAGCCGGGGATGCGGAGAGATAGATCCCTGCGTGGGCGGTGGGCAGCCCAGGCTCTGGACTGACTCTACAGCTCGGAGCTGTGCGCTGCAGGCCCCCTGGGCTGGAGTGAGCGAAGAGCCTCCACAGTCAGTGTACACTGGAAGAGTGTGTGTGTGTGTGTGTGTGTGTGTGTGTGTGTGTGTGTGTGTG